GTTCTGTAAACCTCCTCCTTCGCTTCCTTGGCGTGTATTTTCTGTTCACCCATGGCAGTCTTTATCACATCCACCTCTCGCTGGGTAAACTGCAGACTCGTTTTTATCTCCTGGTCATTTCATCGAATCTCCTGTTGTTTGTCTCCATAATTAGTTGCACAAAGCCTTTGAAGCACTCCTGCTGTTGGTTCAGCATCGTAATGAACATCTGTTTCTCATGATCCACAATATCTTTAACTTGCGCCGCTCTATGACACATTTCTTCTGCCTCCATATCCTCCGTAGCTTCTGATTTATTAGGTCTTTTCCCTCTTTGAGGCATTTTAGCAGTTGTAAAGTATGCTCAAAGACTTGCTCAAAGACTTGAAATATAGAACAGACAAGAGGAGCAGTAAAAACGTCTGCTCTCGCTTGCAAACCCGGAAACTTTTTTGAATGTGTTTAGAGTTTAGCAAAAAGAGTGCATGAGATTTGCTAACAGAGTCTAAGTGCCTGAACTTGTTTAAGGTTTTGCAGAAAGAGTGATTTATTCGACAAATTGGTTTAGGCTATTGAGAATTTGGTTTGGTTAATGGGGTTTATTGTTTTAGCAATTGTGAAAAACTGTAATTCCAAGCTTACTTTTGAAAAGTAATTATAGATTGCAAGAAACAAAAAATCCTTGTCTTCTTCCCCATAGAATCTTGCAATGTTCCTCAGCATGCTGGTTGCCTGGATGATCCCAGATGTACCACGGTCTCTGCGGGAACAGCTGAAGAAAGAGAACACAATGCTGATGGAGTTTCTGCTGAATCACGATCAAGAGGCATGTGCCCAATCTCACTCCACAAAACATTCCACCCTCTGCTTCCCCACCAATATAGACACTGTGGAGGAGACACCACCAGAAGAGCAAGAGGAAGAAGAAGAACTGGTGATTGTGATTGACTTGGATGAACCTGGAAGGACCAGTGACAGTGATCCAGTGGTTGGGAAGTCATTTAAAGAATTTGAAGGAAATGGACAGAAACTGCGAGGAGATGGAAAGGATGAGAGTGGACAGATGGAAGTGGGAGAAAAGGAAAGAGATGGAGAAATGAATGAAGGAGATGGAAGGAGATGTAATGAACAAGACGAAAAAGAAAAAGAGGAAGTAGGACAAGAAGATGACAAAGAAAATGAAGTAAAGATGGATGAGGAGCATTTTAGTATTGATCTTGACTCCTTCATAAGAGAGCTCGGCCTGTTAGGTAAGAGGAGAAATTATAATCTATCATAATATATCTGTTATGTTCTCTCAGATTTGCTATTTATTTTTGTTGGCTTGTGAATAATTCAGTTTTGTTGTCATGTAGATGAGGAACCTTCATTGAGCACAGCTAAAGATACAGACCAGAAAGAGCAGGAACCTCCATCACATCCATCATCTAAAAGATGCTCACCCCAGGGTCTGAAGAGATCCAGAGCAGAAGTTATAACATCAGAAAATGACACTATACTGTCCTCACTAATTGCTCCTCTTCCCAGAGAGCTAGCCACAAGGGCAAAGACCTGCTGCTCCACCTTGCCTTCCCGCCACAGAGGGGCTGAGGCTTGTTACAGCCTGCCCCCCGCCCCAGCCACTCCACCAGCTTCACAAGGTTCCAGCAGATGTCAACACTTACTCCCCTGGCTCCCTCAGATTCTTCATTATCAGCCTCATCCAGCCCATTCTCTCCACCACACACACCGGTGTCCCCTTCGTCTTCATTTCCCACACAGTCCCCAACATCCCCACAGCCCCAAACCCCCACTGAATTATTTGCACTGAAAGGTCCTCTGCCCCAACAGCCACGATCCAGGGGCAAAGCCCGGTGCGCCACCCTGCCTCCGGGACAAAGAACCCCTGATCCTGAGGAGCTCTCCATCAAGCCTAGCCATTCCACCAGCTTCACAAAGGTGGAAGACTACTTCTCACATCCCCCCAGTGAACAGAAACTCAACACAACAGTGTGAGGAGAGCTGGAAGGAAAGGGAACCAGATAAATGGTGGCAGAGGGAGGGGGAGGACTATCCAGATTACCCTTTCCTGTCTGTGCCTAGAGCCTCACCCCTCTGTTTGTCTGCATACATAATACCTGGGGTCTGAAGACAGACTATCCAGATAAACTGAACCTTCTTTTTATCCTTCAGTGGTTCAGGACTGATCCTGGACATTTCAGAGGGACACTGTTCTGAAACTCTCCTTGCCATGTCAAAAGAAAACACCAGTGACATTTTAACTCTGTGTATTATTTGTGTGTGGGTGGGAGGGGGGGCTTCTTTATTATTTCAGTCCCACCCATGCAGCACTGCTACCTAGTAGGTCAGCTGAAGTTCGAAACATATTCAGCACAGCTAATATCAAACGTTATGCTCTAGGTTTTAATATATAAAAATGCAAAATTATAATAAAAGAAACTTATTTTTGATATGTTTTTCTCTCTCAGATTTAAGACCTGTTGTATTTCAGTCTTGTTACTTTTGCCACAAGGACTTTGATTAGTGAAAGAGGAAGTGAATTGAAAAGCTGTTTAATGCAGATAACAAATGATCCATATCATATGAGAGGTGACAAGTAACATCACATATTGAGAGGTACTTTTATTCAGAGGTGGTAAGCTGAGAAACATGACAACAGCAACACGACATTCATAACAGATCACATGATCTCACTGAGTGTTAGTGGCACTATGGAAGCTGATAGGCCTATTGTTGTTTCTGTTGCCCCCCTCTGGTTTGTGGTGAAACAAAAAATTGTGTGTGTGTGTGTGTGTGTGTGTGTTTACTTTTGTATTCCTTTGAAACCTGACATTTGGCCTGATCTCCTGCTAAATTACATTTTCCCACTAAATCCTGAGCAGGGAATTATTAGTTAGCTAATAGTTAAATGTTTGTTGTTAACACAAACAACTATTTATGCAGAGTGGTGTTTCAGTCTCTCTCTCTTTGTGTGTGAAAGTTTCCTTTTCTCCTCTACCCATGACCTGCACTGGCTCCGCCTCCCCTGCTCCACCAGTGAATGGGCCCTTTGTGGGGGCTTCCCAGCATTCCAAGAGAATTCAGGCAGGTGAGGGTACACAAACAATCCTGCTCTTAGATGATTACTGCAGCTTACCATTTACTACTGAAAATGCGAAACGCCCCAAGGGTGGTTAGGAATTGCCAGAACTTACTTTAGAGGGTGTGTCCTGCGGCTACAAGGGCGTAAGTAAATGTTTCCCTTCTTTTTTATTGCCTTTGAAGAAGGGCTCCACGACAGCTGTAAGAGGGAACATGTAAGCTCTAACAGCACTGTTATCTTGTGTAGATTTTTGCAGTATTTAAGAGACTGGCTTCACACAGACAGGTCCCTGGAAAACACACTGCACTACTTACAGCAGGTACGCTGAAGGTGAGTGTGCATGCATTTTCTTTCACTGATGTATTCTCCACCTGGCTTCCAACAAAGGATGTAGTCACCCAGACATTTATGGAGAGGGAGCTTTAGTTGAAAAGAAGTTTTACTGTATGATCAGGTAGAGGGCTGAGACCTCTCAGGTTTCACACAGTATTTTACTTGAGTTTCACCAGACTTTGTCACACGCTCGTTCTCTATCCCCTTTGTGCCTCAGCTTCTCTCTCCTCTGTTAGAACTTTCAGGACGACACTGCCTGCAGGTATGTATGCAAATATATCAAATTATTCATGTTTATTTAGACAGCTTTGGTTGCACATACTGAAAGCAGCTTTCTAACTGGTAAAATGTGTCATCGCCACACTGTCATGGGCAGAGTCCACAAGACAATCTGCCTCTTTGAATTGCTCTTCACCCGTCATTATCATTGTTGGCCTTTGGTATCTACTAGTTGTCCATCTCTAAATGACTTCCTTCTTTCATGACTGCATGTCGCTGTAGTGCCACAGATCAGCAGGAGCTAACAGGAAATCATAGTGGCCACAACGAACATTTGGCAACTCAAACAAACAAAGTGGGGCTTTTTTGGCCATAAACTGACAAAGACCAGAGCCTTAGCTGCTTCAGGAGACCAGATTGTGTTAGGTGCTTTGTTTATTTTTTGAAAACCTTTTTTGGCTGCTAAAGAATTACAAACCACTAAGGCCAGCAGATATTAGTTGATGCAATAACTGATGAGAAATCTTTAATTTAGGCTTTTAAAAAATCTGCCTTTTTCAAAATCTACCTGTATTGGTGTAAAAACAAAGGCTTGTTTGTGATGGAAATTAAGATTATTTTTAATAAATCAAATGTAATTTATTTTATAATAATTACTGTTCTGTCTTGGATACAAGTGCACTTATCATGACTCATTTTTACTACTGCTACTACTACTACTACTACTAATTATCGCTCCAATTCCAGAAGTTTACATTTAAGAGAAACATCATTTTAAATTTTATTTTAAATAAATATGTACTATTCATGAATTGTATGTTTAATAAGCTATCTTCTGCATTGTCGTTTTAAGTTTTGTTTTCCTCAAGCTGTACTTGCATCCTTCATTACAGTGCAAGTGAGAAAGAGATGAGGAAAACATTTGTAAGCACCACACAGTGAATGCACATTTACTTTAAGTATGAGGTATCTTATTTAAGTATTAGCAAGGAAATTACCTTGAATTTTAGCCAAATTCCTGAATAAGAAACTAACTATTTAGCCACACAGCTGTAAAACGGGATTGTGTTTTCAAACAGCATGTTGCAGACAGTTGGTGAGTGGCTGGGGGGGGGGCGCACCAGTAAACGTCTCCTGGTCTGATCTGGAGGACAGTGAAGGTCATGTCTATGCTAAAGCCTCTCAACTCTATGGTGCTCTGCCCTGCACCCTGTGCCTGCTCATAGTCAGGCACCTGTTTGAGAGGTGAGAATATACAGTATGTGAGTAAGTGTGCCCATGGGCCAGTGCGCTTAGCAATGCAGTTGCTGTTTTCAAAATACTGGGATTAGGTTGCATGAGCAAGAACAACAAGAACCAGACCGGTGTTGTTGTTATGAGAAAGAAGCAAAGCCCTGCTTGTATGTGTGTGCTATTGCAGGTACCTAGCCACGCCACTGGCTGATGTTTGGGGAATTAGGGACAAGGTGCGTCGGACAGTTGAACCAAACCCCACCCTAGAAAACTACTTCTGCAGTCAAGCGCGGGTTCCATCGCAGGTATATTAAAGGGGCATTTCACTGAAAAACCAAAGTGGTTCTCTGTTCTTTTACAATATGCAGCAATGTGCAATCATTTAAAAAATGAAAGTGTCAGGATCTTCTACTGCTGGGATCTTCTTTGTTTTATTTATAGTTTTATTTTTAATAAGTGAAATACTGTACATCACCATTGTGTCTTTTCAGATACACTGAGTCAGTGCACTTCTAATAGTTTTAGTCAAACATTCCATTCTGTTGTTTGGTGCTGAAATTAGATGCACAGTAAATTAAATGTTCTCACTGAAGCAAGCGTTGCTTATCATAAGAGAGTAAATCTTAAGATTTTATACATGCAGAGGTGCTGGAGCATTTCCCTTGTGTTCTAGGCTGATGTGAGGTCTCTGTGTAAAAAGACCAGCTGGCCAGAAAAGAGAGTTCAAGTCTGGTTCAGGAGGAGAAGAAATCAGGAGCGACCGGGGCTTAGGAAGAGGTTCTGTGAGGCCAGGTGTGTGCATCTGTGTGTGACTGTGCACTGATCTCAGAACAAGTGCATGTGTGTAAATATGTGATATTGTTATTTTTGTCTGTCAACAGTTGGAGATGTGTGTTTTATTTTTTTGCGTTTGTTGGCGGAGTCCTAGCTCTCTATGATGTAAGTACTTTATCACAGGAATTTAACCCCTATGTCATACTATTTTTCCATTATGCAAATTTATTGGTCTGTTGCTTTACTCTCTCCTTATTTTGTCTTTTTCTCTCTACTTCTCTCCCTCTGTCTCCCAGTGTGGGTTTACCACGGATTTATACATATGATCTATGTCATGTCTTTCTGTTCTTTGTGGTTTTTCTCACACTATGGTAAATGACATGACAGACCAGTTTGCATGAGCTAGCTGACCAATATTTATCCCTGTCACTGTTGTCAAGGCCGTGTTTCACCCCTTGATAAACATCTCTCCCCTTTGTTGTTGGTAGAAACCTTGGCTTTATAATCTGAAGGAGGTTTGGGCAGGCTTCCCTAAACAGGTAGATGTTTTGCCATTGCTTTTAGGTCAGTATAATATGGCAGTGTGTTTTATGATCAACATTTGCATGTGTGTTGTGTCACTGCAGTCCATGCTGCCATCTCAGTACTGGTATTACCACTTGGAAATTGGCTTTTACCTTTCTCTGCTCCTCAGACTCACGTTTGATGTGAAACGAAAAGTAAGTGTACAGATGTATAAATTCAGTATGAATCTGTTTATTTTAATCTTTAATTATTTGTTATAAATAATATCTAATACATTAATCGTTTCATTAATATTCATTTTAATTAATTACTCACTAAATGATAGTTTTTCAAGAATTTATAATAAATAATAGAAACTATTTTATCATCTTTCTCAAATATTATTTAGAAATATCACTTTTTAACAAAGTCTGTGATGAATATCTTAGTATCATATACATGTTAACTGCCATGTGTATGTGCATAGGATTTCAAAGAGCAGGTGATTCATCATATAGCCACGCTGACTCTTCTGAGTTTCTCCTGGATTTCAAACTACATCCGTATTGGCACCCTTGTTATGGCACTGCATGACTTCGCTGATGTACTGCTAGAGGTCAGTGGCGATTTCTGTGAAACATGTAGGCTGGTGCAGTATTATTGTCACAGTTCTGCAGAAGCAAAGGTTGCACCTGGTATGACTGCAAAATAAACTGCTTATGCACAAACCATGCTCTGTAAGGAAAAGTGGACAGATGTCACAATCTCTGTCATCACAATATTTATCTACAGGTCTGTTAGAAATGTTAGCCTGGAGCCCTGTATCTGTTGGTGGTACATCCCATGCAGGGCCTTATGCTATGGCACTTCCTCTGGATGATCTTTGGTCCCTGTCTATTGCTGTCTCAGACATTCTCTCAGCAGCTTGTCTGTGGGTGCCACCTTGCTGATCTACTCCTGGATGCTCTGGGTTTCATCCAGGACAGTGGCCTTGACACTCACCAGGCCCCGTCCACCCTCCTTCCAGCTAAAACTCCAGAAAAGACTTAGAGTATGGCGTTGAAAACTGGGGAAATACATACACAAGCTCACTTCAACCACTGTATATATTACGAAAAAGAGCGATAAGAATTGTGCATAAGATGGGGTATAGGGATCACACCAATGGAGCTTTCATACAGTCTAAATTGTTAAAATTTTTGGATATAGTGGGATATAAGACTGCTGTGTTTATGTATAAAGCCAGGAACAATTTATTACCTGGGGGAATTCAAAAACTATTTAATGAAAGGGAAGGGGGATACAATTTAAGGGGTCAGTTAAATTTAAAAATTCATGCTATACGTACAACCAAAAAAAGATTTTGTATTTCCATAAGTGGGGTAAAACTATGGAATAATTTAAGTGTGGACATAAAAAATAGTAATAGAATTGACGAGTTTAAACATAAATATAAAGGTATGTGTCAATCAAGATATATGCAAGAACAGGCTTAATGATTAATTAGATGGAACATTGTGGGTGTGGTGTATGAATGTTAACACTTTGTAATAATTCTTTAGTATATTACTTGTGTGGTGTAGAAGAGAATTATTTATGTAGAGATACTGCTTGCAAACCAATGATGGTAAGATGATGTCATGGGGTAGGACTGGATAAGTCTGACTTCTTCCTACTCCATTCAAGCATGTACTAGGTATAAGCACATTGATATTGGATTGTGTGTAAAAATGTGTGTTGTTATATCAACTGTTTTATATGCTTGAAAGAATAAATCAAATCAAATCAAATGTACAGTCTCTAGGTGTTGGACTTAGAGTGGACACCTCTGTACATTGTGAGGAGTTTCTGGGTCTTCACATCGGCAGCCTCCTTGTCTTCCTCTGGCTATCTCACTATGAGACCTAATATTAAATCACAAATAAACTTTCTTGATGCTTTCAGAGAAGCATTAGTTCATGTAAAGTTTACTCTAAACCCCTCAGGACTGCAGTTTTCATTCATTATATTAGGTCCATTTTCTGCATCATCATCATAGGGGAAATAAATGTTCTTTCCATATGGGGATTGTTACTCAATTCAAACTAGACATCAATTGAAATGCTGCCTGCTGTGAACTGTTCCTTCAAAACTAAGAGCTGAAACTAAAACCTTTTCCTGTTTTTATTTCACAGGGTGCAAAAGTATTCAACTATGCCAAGTGGCATCAAACTGCTAACGCCATGTTTGTGGTGTTTACGGTTGTCTTTATGCTCACAAGACTGGTTATTTTTCCTTTTTGGTAAGTGTGTGAAAGGATGCAACATGATATTTGCTGATCTCGGAGTAATACAGAAAAATATTATGTGTGTATATCTTCAACAGGCTGATCCACTGTACGTGGGTGTACCCGCTGGAGCAGTTTGCACCCTTCTTTGGTTACTACTTCTTCAATGTCATGCTGCTGGTTCTACAGATACTCCACCTGTACTGGGCTTTTCTCATTTTACGAATGGTTTACAAATTTATCTTCAGCAAGGTGTGTTCACAGCTGGTTTTATTGTGTAGCCAAGGTTTATTTATAAGAAAATAAATACGTGAAAATGATGTAAAATCTACAATCAACTTAATTTCCTACCTCTTCTATGTGGCTCATCTGCATCCTGTAGCTGGAAGGAGATGACAGGAGCGATGAAGAGGAGGAGGACAGTGACTCACTGAAGGAAGGCAGCCACAAACTGAGTCACATGAATGGTTCTGGAGGCTGGGCCAATGGCCACAGGCACTCAGAAACAGAAAAAGGAAAATGGGAGGAGATACATGGACAGACTTTTTGAATTGCAGCTGTTAGAAACTAAATGTATATAAAAAGGAGGAAACGGAGAAGGTAATTTTTAAAGGAAGTGTGATGGCATAGACATTGATGCAGAAACAGCATGATTTCTGGAATTCATTGACCTCTGAGCAGGAGCAGGACAGGCAACGATAAAGCTGTCCCGGAATTTGCTGTCAAGTGGCCCCACTTGGATTCATCACATTGAAACTGTCACAAGTTAACCTATCAACAAATCATTAATTAAAAACAAAAATTTAATGTTTATACAGTTTGTATTAGTCTAATAAGCTTTTCCCCCAATATTAGTATGTGCAGACAGCAAAAATGTAAGGTGGGATTATGATCATCTGACTCCTAATTTGACTTATTACCCTGCTTTTATTATCTGAAATGTTTAAAATAGAGTATGTTTAGAATAACAGAGTAGTCCAACCTTATCAAATGCACTGATGTGTAGTGACCTAATTTACTTCAGTCACACAATAACATTCGGTAGTGCACCTGTAATTGGATCTGTGCTTGTTCCTTCTGCTTCCTACATTCTTTCCTTGTCTTTTTCTGTGCCATGTTCATCTGCATGGTTACATTATACAGCTTGCATTTTACAAACATTTACAGCAAGGGCTGCCTGTCAAATGTTAGAGACTATGCCTTTGTCTTATAAGCTATTAAGCAAAAAAGAATAGTTAAGTATTCTAGATGAACTGTACTTGTTCTCTATCACTTTGATATAACCATTTTAATTATTTTCTTTGATTATGGGCTACACACAAAATATTTGATCCGCTCATAAATCATCGTTCATTAGATTAAGGCTTTACGCACCAACATAGATTTTCCACCACTAAACAGAAGCAGAAAGAACTAGTGCGCCCTCTAGTGACAATCTGCGGGAGCTGACACAAGATGAACCATCAGATGGGACTGGTGGCGCTTTCCATTACTGTTACCGTAGAAACCACAACACAAACCATGCGTAACAACGTGCCGCGGGTCAAACAGCTGTGGCTTAATTAAACATATGTTAAGTAACCTGGCTTCAAGTATTAAAACCAGAATGGCTCATGTGAAAAAGTATCGAGCAAATGTGAAAACCGGAAACTGGAACGAGGACCTGCGCTTAGAAGAGGTTTGTATTTACATAACCAGTCAACTTTTTTATCTAGGTAAATGAACTTCAAGGTGCCCGTCAGCTAGCGTTAACTTGTCCTTTTTATTTAATGTTATGGTTCACTTTTCTTTAAATACTCAATAAACCCGTTTTCACATGCTATTAGATAATGACTTAAAACGGCCTGAAATGGCGACAAAGTCTGATAATCTGGATGCCATTCATAATACTTATTCAGGACTTTTACTTCAGAAAAAATAGTAACACAAGTTGGTAGGCATTTTCTGTTAAACTACAAAATTCCTGCATTCAAAATGATGCTTTTTGGGGGTATATATAGATCTATCCAGGTGAAATATTCAAATCAATGAATACTACTTGTTTGGCTGCCTCATTTCATCAAATGGGAACATTATAGATGTCTTGATTATTGTTTGCAAATACATATTTTTCTAAAATGGGACATACTTTGACATACTTTGGAAATGGGTGTGAACATTATGTGTCTGAAGTTTCAACAATGTTGGGCTGCATTTAGTAACAAAGAGTAATAGGACAAGGAGGCAAGTGGGAAAAATTCCCATTTTCATCAAGAGAAGCAATGGATTGTGAAAGTCTATTTTCTAAGAATTCACATTGTATATGTTAATGTTTTTCCAGGATGCAATAAAAGAGTACCTGGAGAAAAAAGAGAGGGGCGAGCTTGCTGCCCAGAAAGTAGACTTCCTCAAACAGAACATCTTGAGCCCGGTAAATTGAGTTTAAGCTAATTAAAAACACAATTAACAGCAGCAATAAGATCACACTGATGATGGTGATGATAAAAATGACGGTGTTTGTCTGTGTAAAGGTGAAGCTCTCTGTGACAACGGACGGCAGATTGCACTTTGGGGATGTTGTGATGTTGGTGAACACAGGAGGTGAAAACAGAGAGTGCAGCACAGTCAGCATTAATGCAGACACTGCCAGTTTGACAAAGATTCCCTCACCTGGAATTCAGGCCCCATGTGGAATCAGTGCGGGAAGAGATATCCAGCCCTGCACACGCACTGCCTTCATTATTACCAGGTGCACAGACCAACACAATTATTCTACGTCACACCTCAACAGACACAGAGATACTCTCAGATGTAAAACTGTACACTGCTTGTGTGATTACAGTGTGGATGGCAGTCCTGAAGGATCCAATCTGCTGTTTGATCAAAGTTTTGCTCTTAAAACAACAAGTGGCTTTGCCAGGGGAGTAAGTGAATGTGTGTAAATACTGTAATACAAACATACATCAGGATACCTCTGTCTGTGCTGCTTTGATTTTGATTTTCTTTTATTAATATGGCACAGCTTTGCATCTTCCTTTTCACCCAGAGTCCATTTAAACATTAAATTGGTGAAATATACTGGATCTTTAATATTTTATAGTTTTTATGAGACTTCATGGTTATGTGGCTATTATGTCAAAAAACAAAAATCACATCTTTGCCTTTACAGATTTTTTTTCTCTTTCTTTCCTCAGGTTTATTTGACGAGTGACCTGCAAAGTTTTCAAAAGGTATATCAATGCAATGATATGTTTACCAAAGCATAAATGTGGAAATCTTTCATCCATACTCAAAACTGAACACAGAATGCAGCATGTCTGTTTGTCCTTAATCGATCTTCTGCTACTCTGTCTCATATTATTTTGACTTCTTTTTAAGTGTGCAAAGAAGTCCCGTCTCCAGGAAGTGAACTTGGTTGACGACTGCTCTTTTCTGTCATGGTGGAAAATAGTGCACTTTGACCCCCAAGAGAGGCTCGAAAATGAGGGTCAGCCTGTTCCTGTAAGCCTGTACTGCAGCTTCATTGTTGATTGTCCATCTGTTGCAACATCACCATTTATTGTGGGTCAAAGTCTGGAGCTGAAAATAATATCAGTAATCAATAGTTTTTTGTTTTGTTTTGACAGGCTAATGTGAAGGTGCTGGTCGTACACTGCAAGACAAACCAGGCTCTTGCTGTTCTGGGCGATCATGTCCTTTGGTATTTTCAATTTTCCTTTTTAGTAATAACCCCCCAAAAGGGGAATACAGTATGATGCTGTGTTAAAGATACTTAGGCTTCTGAATTGTGTTTGTGTTGAAATATCTGATGTCTACTTGGAGGTCCAGTGAAAAAAAAAAAAGCCACAGCCAAGTATGTACTATATAAGAAGAGATGTCATAGAAAGAAAACTGTAATGTGAATGTAGGTCAACTAGTTATGGTGACATAAAAAAACATATTGTATCTGTTCCCCCACTTAATCCAACTGCTGTGTAGTTGTCTTGATGCACCTTTAAACAATGAACAAGTTTCTTGTCAAACTGTCACTGAAACACACCATGTAGATTCACTGTAGTTGATCTTCATATCCACTTGTTCTCAGAAAGAGAGGACCTCCAATATGGCAGCTAAAAGTCAGGTTATAATGCTTTGCACATTCATTGTTTTGTCAGTAACAGTTGCTTCCCTGCAGGACCGCATATGGCAAAGAATATGAGGTGACGGCTCACACCTTCTTAGACTCCCACAGAGCTGAACAGGACAACAACCACTGGATACTGTGCACCTCTGACCCTGCAGGGGTCGGGCTTGTATTTCTCAACCACCCGGTGTCAGTAACTAACAACAAGGAGCTCACACAGGCAAATCCAGAATGAATCTAAAACACAATCCACCCTCATGCTGTAACACAAATAGACCAGACAGATAGCACAGCATTAAGAACACCTTAAGGTATAAAATAAAGGTAGTTGTTTTTTTGGCTTTTGTGTCACTGATTTTTTTTTTTTCTTCTTGTAAAAAAGAGACTCCAGGCTGGACTCCATTCAGGGTGTTAAGGTTACATGATACATGAGCAAACCAAGACACCAGCAGGTTGTGTAGAAAGAAGCATTTGATATGTTTGTTCAAACACTTTTATTGGTCTTGTTAGGCAGCAGTTTAGACAGTTTCCCATGCGTTTGCATTTTCCCCTGAAAGTAATTTTATGAGAGATGAGATAAAATAAAAGATGAAATGTTCTGCCGTAAAAGATATATTTACACAGCCTTCACCAGCTTGCTTAATGCAGCTGATTTATCTTTTAATGTGTTACAAACATATAAAAGTTGAATTCATGAGCAATAAAACACATCTTTCCTGCATGTGGTCACATGGTTGTCTTTACAGTCAGGTTGCTAAATGATGATGCGGTTAAACAACTGTATTACAAAATGGAAATTTAATCGTTTCCTGTAACTGTGGCTGCAGTGGTTGGTGTTTAGAAACAGTTACAGTCACATGCTAATGTGCAAATTATATTTAATGTGTATAATCCCTACATTTGAGTTAAACTGGCTAGTCTATTATAAAAAATGCATCACTATTTTATACAATGATAGTATTCTGTAACTTATAGCAGGTATAGATTTACTAGGGCAGGTATATTGAAATTGAGTGAGGATGCTTGTGTTTCCTGTTCTTGCACAAGTTGTGTTCACATTCCTGTGGAAAACACACAAGACTACCCATACAACCTGCATGGTTGCACAACATACTGTGCAGGTATTGTGTTGCCTTCAGGTCATTACATAGTGAAAAACATCTTAGTTTATATCAGTGTGCTGGGAAGGTGATGCAGGTGATGAACCCATAACATAACAGCAACATATCCCAGTCAGTTTCTGTGGCATATGGCCTTTCTTTGGTTTGATAATGTAATATTAAAATGATATTTATGAGTGAAACAAATGATTCAGCCTGGTACATGGAGGCAGCTTTACAGCCTACAAGGTACAAGAATGATTACTATAATGCTCCAAAACTATCTGACATTGTGAGCTTTGTCTTGTTTCAGGTGGTAGCAGAAGCCTGATGTTGTATTTTGACCCCTCCTAAAGAAGATATGCTCTGACCTGCATCAAACTACTTTTTAATCCACATGCTGCAGCAGCAGGAGCCTTGGTATCTCACCACTCAGCAGGAGTACAGTATATCTAAAAAAAAGCACACTATTTAATTGTTTTATACTATTTACCTGCTTCTTTTTGTTTGGTGTTGCTGTGGCCTTTTACCTCTCCCAGCATGCACTGGACAAGACAGGGTATACCAAAAGATACTTGACTGATCCTGCTGCAAATGCAGCACAAACTGTAGGTTACCTACACTCAGTAATCCACAGATGTATTCCACCACAGGGTTTTTCATAATTTGCCTTCATATTATCAGTGTTATCTGTCTCTATGTCTCAGCCCTGTGATAGACTGATGACCTGTCCAGGCTGTACCCCACCTCTCGCCCAATGTCAGCTGGGAAAGGAAAGAGATGCTAAGGTGCTCAGCAAGTTTTTAAACCTGTATTGCACTTGTTCAGGTTAATAGCAGAAACTATAAAACAGCAGATACTATGATACGACACAACTTAAAACTCACAGACACAAGGTTTGGCTTATTTGTTCTATTGTACATAGAGTGCCATAACTTTTGTAGTTTTACCTTTAAATGACAATGTACATTTTGTCATGTACAGCATTTTAATTACACCACATAAATGATTAGCTTTTTTTTGCCATTCGAGCAATCATTTGACTGGTTCAATTATATTCACCATGCAGTAAACCTCAGCTACAATACGCCTGCAGTGATGCATTTGCAGCAGCAGAGGGCGACACTTAAACACTGAAAGGACCTAAATAGCCTGAACCAGACTGAATGTCAGGAGATGATGCTTCACACACACACACACACACACACGTGCACACACAATACAAAACTGCAGTATGAATAGTATTTAAAAAACACACTTGAGAATTACATAACCAATTTAAAATAAAGTAATTTTAGTGTCATCACTTAAATAAACAATGAAAAATGTGTCAGATATGACATTCTCTTCATTTTTTAAACATTTTTGCTCCGATTAGCTATATTTACATGCACAAAGCATTTATTGGGTTTACTAATGAATTCAATTGTAAGTATTTAAAGCATTATGTGTAAAACAAACAATCAAAACAACAGGACTCATTCAAGGTGATGCCCTTCTAATATATTTACTAGTAATAAAAGATCGTGGTTAGGAAAAGTAACCAAGTAGGCCTATAATAACATGTTAATAACATGTTATTAACATCTTAATAAATATTCAGGTGAATTTCAAAAGCAATAAAATACCATGATTTTGTAGGCCACCAATAAAAATATTCATCTGAAATGAAAATAATTAGAAATGTCTCATCTCACCTAAACTAAGTGTGGGCCTGTTAGTCCTACTACAAGGTAAAATGCACCTGGATGCTCTGGTGACCAGGATCAAACGTGCTTCAGGATGAGGAGCAACGCCTGTTGTTCACTGCTGCCTCTGCTTCATGCATCAGATGAATGAAAGGTAAAGTCAGCTCTGGCAGAATGAAGCTCCATGTCAGATTTTATTCTGGGCCTGTGACGATGGTGTGGTGTATAACCTATGGTACAGCTCCAGTGCACAAAACACATGGTCACATTCACTCCACAAACATGAAGAAGTCCTTCCATCTAAAAATTTGGTGGGGAGGGGTGATATAAACAAAATCAGCATTTTCTTTGCGGTTGTAAAAAAAAAACAAAAAACACTGATAATTATTTGAAGGTTAGAATAATGATAGATCTGTACTGGTCTTAACACAACAGTGTGCCAAAGAATAAGTCAAAACTCACTTCTTAATCTCAGACATAACACTGAAGCTTCACATTTGGCTGATGTCGTGTGAAGAGTCACAGGTGCTGACCTTGGAGCTGCCCCAGAAACATATCACACTCATACAACATGAAATACAGAGTTATTTCCATTGCCCGCAACCACTTGGTTAAAAATGAAGTGGTGGTTTACCTCCACAGATTGGCCAGACCACACTGGTGCAGCAATAATAATGTTTATTAATTCAAAGGATTCATTACTTTAGTATCTGCATAAAGTCTTACATGAACATAAAATTCTGTTCAAGTTGAATTCTTTTTGTTTCTTGATGATGCTTTTTGAATAATTTGCCGACAACAAATCAAGCCCAAATTTGTTGAGTTAAATTGTCATATTCATTGTAAACAATGTAATCACTTACCTCTGTCAAACACGAAGTCATTCCATCAACAGTTTACAGCCTCGGAAGAAATGAATCATAGTTGGTCTGGAGAAAGTTAATGGATTTTCCAGTGGTGGTACATTTTACCTCAACTAACTTCACAAAATCAGGGAAAGGTTGTAACATATCTCAGTTTTTGTTTGTGTCTAAATGCCTCTGCCCTGACAAGCTGAAACCTCATGATTTTAAATGTTTAGACAGTTTTGTAAGAATGGGGACTAATTAATAGGCTAAAGGGCCCCTAGCGGGGCCCCACATGTTTCCGTTGTGACCATTATTGCTGTGCTAAAATACTAAAAGTGCACAGGTTTGCTGTATGTCAGCTAATTGTGGTTCATTTAATTAAACATGTCTGTTTAATAATGTGCACCATGTAATATAAATATAAACACACATTTGACAAAGGGCCCCTCTTTAAGGTTTCATAGAGGTTAGATTAAAATACATGACCCACCTCGTAAAATATATAAGTCTTACAATTTCAGTTATTTTGAGACAATGCTTCCCAAAGTTAAGCTATGTCTAACTGAGACCCGTGTCTATTAGATGTGAGAATGATTATCTCCTCTTAGGTTGTTTCAGTGAAATCATTTTTGATGTGAAGCTGCAAATCTGTCCAGTATTTCACATGAAAAAAAGATCAACTGAGATAAGAGAAATGTCTCAAAAATAAAAACAATGTTGTGTAGCTGAATTTAGATTTTCACATTTCCTACCCAGAGGCCTGTTTCCTAAATGACTGACAGTCACAAATTGCAGACACTAACTGACAAGCCCTGCAGGGCTCTCACATACTCACAAATATGTCTCAAGTGACACTTGTTCTGATTAGTTAGATGTGCTAAAATGAATGTCAGAGGAATGGTCCCATGTTGCAGGTTTGATAAACTGGGCTGTGGAGGGGATGCCGACCCTCAGGTCGACAGCAACCGATTTGGGAGATGTAACATGACTGAGGAGATGGAGACCAAAGTTGGGATTAACTTGCCTTTTCCACCAGATACTGAGAAACTGTCTGGAGCGGCAGAAAAGTATGTGGTCCTAAAATTAAAAGCAGATTTCTTCATTTCTGCTGAAGTATAACAGGCCTAAACTATGTAACTGGGACACATGTTCTTAACCTCTCCATACTCCCAGAGTTGTGTGCCTTGCTGTAGGGACGCGCCGGGAATCCCTGAGTCTAAATCCGCTCCGGTTTTTCCTCGCTGCTCTCAGCCACCTTATCCGTAGCACTGTGTGTTTCTGTGTGAGAGAAGCCGACTCTTGTTTACAGCTGAGATTCCGCGGAGGCTCGGAGACGCACAGCCTGCTTTAACCGAGGGCGAGTCGTAGGATTTCAGCCTCTGGATTTACACGCAACGGGTGTTTTTGTCTTCTCTTTTTGTGAGCATGAAGGACAAACAAGAAACCCTCTGAAAGGGCAGCTCCTTGCAAATATTCTCCCTCCCACCCCAGTCGAGGTCGTTTAGCTGGAAAGCTGGAGACCCATTCGTGTTTTCGTTCAGCTGCAAATCACGACTGGCGGCGGAGAGAAGTGCGACTCGAGGAGCTGGAAAACTGGTTTCTAAGCATCTTCTGACTGTGGGCCGGTGCTTCTTGGTCGGGATCGAGAGCCTGCTCTTGGTTTAATGGTATAGGCATAAAAAAGAAGGCTTTTCATTCATTTTTCAGCCTCCCAGCCACCACCCCTGTGGCTCTGGACGCGTTTTCTGGTCACTCCTCCCCTCGTACACAGTAATTCACAAAGGGGGATTCTTGTGAGCGACACTGGCGTTAATTTATTATGGTAGTAGAACCCACTAATAATAACACTTAGTCTAATATTTTCATATTACCAGGCCCGATCGCACTGGACGCGCACTGCTGTTTTCAAGAGATGGAGACTGAAGATGGAGATTACTATCATTTATCCAATAAAATCACGGGCTTGTGTGCCATACCAGCCGACGTCAAAGTATCCAGTGATAGGCAAAAATAGCAGACTGTTTTTAGTATTTTTTTTCCTTCCAAACCAATTCCCTGTTACAGCAATTTTACACATTTATTTATAATTTTTTTAGAGCAAACCGTGGTAGACAAGCAGCCACGTATTTGCAGGATAGCATTAGAGTCCCCTGTCTGGGCTACACACGCCTTTATATTCCTCTTTTTGTGTGCAACCATAGTATTTTATTTGTTTTGTATCGGCCTTGTTTTTTTGGGAGGTGGATAATGTTCATGGACACAGCGATCTGCTTTATTATAGGAAACGTTCCCCCCTTTGATAACGCAGTGCTGTTTATTTAGAAACCCCATGATACGAGGCACATGTTGCCATAATCTTCACATTTTGGCATCCAGAAAGCAGAAGATGAATCCAGGGACCAGAGCTGAAGGTTACTATGAGCATGTGGCCATTTTGCATTTCGTAGTGTGGCGTCGCTGCGCACGAACAACCTAAGTCTGATAAAACCTCGTAAAAAAACACAAACGTAATACTAAACAACAGCTATACCCTACTTCAGCCGGCCATTATTATAAACCATCAGCATGATAAAGAAAACAACATGGGAGATGATCGTATTTCATTTTTCAGTTCACAACTTCTATAACAGCTGTTATTTAATGCAAGTCTTCAGATACAGGAACACCTGTGTTCAAGTGTTTCCCGTATGAAACCCTAGAAATAACAGATAGCACAAAACCTTTCAGTCAAGCTTTGACTCTATATATACACAAATAAACCTACTAAAACAAGTGAGAAGTAGGTGAGGTTGTTTTGTCATATTTGAAAGCTTTGTTTGCTCTTTTGGGCTTATCTTTGGAGTCTTTTAAAACCTATAGTTTAATCATAATTTCCCATGGAATTTACTAAAATTAATTTGACTAGTTTTCAAGTGTAGGCTTTCATTTCGTTGGAGATTTCAGTGTTTGGTTTTTAAGGTTTAAAATTTAGAGTGGATTCATAAATGCTTCTCTGAGCCTATTTTAAGTTTTCTCATTTAATCTATATTAATCTAATATATGGATTCCAGCTGCTTTTTGCCTGTGTGAAAACAGGACATCTGGGAATCAGTGATGGTTGCTATTTTTTTCTTTAGTTTTTAGCCATGAAAATTATTTTCTGCAACTGTTTTCGCCTGCTTTTCTCCAAATCTGTCTTTAAACAAAACTACAGGCAGCACCCATCGGAATATAGAAATGATTTAGTAAATTTCTTTTTGTCATTGAACTAAATCTTCAGTTCACGTTGTAAGTTATAATATACTAAACAATTTAAAACAGAAACAAGAATGTGGTTTATGTAACCAGAAAAGTGAGTTTTACTTCAGTCGTGTTCTTTTGGCCCAATCCTGTTAATAATCTCAGACACTAACATTGCATCAAAGCCATGGTCCAGTGAAGGATGAGACATTTCATGTGTAAATTTCACAAGTCACACCCCAGAAGTTGTTTATTTACTTGCCAGTCATTAAACTTAAACACCTCTCTGGGTGCTTCTTTGTACCTTGAGCCTAGTGATTGTTATTGTCTGTGTATCGTGGGCGGTGTGGCTTGCTTTGTTTGTGTATATGTATGTGTTTGCTGCTTACGTCACTTCCTTTAAATACTATTTTGCCCATTTCTAGAGAGGTTATGTGGGATGGTGGGGAAGACTTGACATGGGAAGGAGACATGCAGACTGGCTTTTATTAGCATTCAAATAGAAGAAAAAACTGAGTTCAGTCCTATTGACCAGTGGTTCGACCACAGGCAGGCGGGGGTGTGCTTCTTTGCACCCCTCTGAGCTCAGTGAGATGTTCGAACGCAGTCGGGGGTTGGGGGACAAGTGGCTGCTCTCAGATGTAGATGCTCTGTGGTGTATAATGCATCAGGTTGTTCAGAGCCAAGAATTCAGAGGCAAAAACGGTGGTGAATTTCAAGACAGGGATGGATTTCCTCAGTTTATCACTCTGAGGTGATGCTTACTGAAATGCCAGCTTCTGTCATGCCTTAGTGGGAAATCAGAGATGGCCTACGACTCCATTAAGGGTTGAAAACTTTGTTTTTTCTCTGTTCGTTTTGATAATCTGTCTATTGCAATAAAATGTAATTAAGTCTTCTTTTAACTCTCGCCACAGTAAACTTTCCATGCCATGGTTTCGAAGTCGGCAGCAAACAAGTCTCCAAAAGGCAGAGGGAGGCTTGGTGTTTGGAAATAGAATGTGTAAAAATATGCTTGCAAGAGAAACAGACTTTGTTTTGTTGATTGGAAGATTAGCAAGTGTGTGAACTGTTTTATTGGCTTTTGCTTTTCACACGGAGTCGGCAGATTAACTTCATTTCATCGCTCGGCCCCACTACTGTTGGAGTTATAAATAGATATGTCACCAACAGCATTGGCCCTCTGTTCCGTTTTATGAAGACACGCCAGTGTTCCTGTTCCATTATTTATAAATGGACATGTTGCTCTGTAAAACCGAATGGTACCATATGTAATCAAATGTCAGAGAGCATTGTGTTTGACAGGCACCCACCTTTCTCATTGGGGTAAGCCATGTTGTAATAGGCTACAGCTCTCTTTGTAGTGGCGGGGCAAGTGGCTCAGATATACAGTAACTGTCGCTCTCCTTCAAGGTGCCTCCCCCCATCACAGATGCATACCCCCCTCCCCCGCTCCTGGCTTGGCTGGGTGCAGAAATGGCTTGCCTCACCCCCAGCCAGAAGGTGTAGTGAGTGTTCATAGCCCTACGGTGTGTGTGTGTGTGTGTTTACGAGTGTGTTTGTGCCCATGTTTATTGTGCAGCTCTGTGTGTAAACTGCAGCAGGACCAAGTGTGACAGCCTGAGTCAGTGGCATACCCCTGTGTAAGGATGTGGAAGTGTGTCACTGGGCTAGTTTGTGAGAGTGCAGTCAAATGCTGTCCTGCAGCTCTTCCCAGGCTGCCAGCCGAGGCTTACAGTGCTTAATTAAACACTTTATTTGGAGTGGTCTGTCATTGGATTTGCTCTGATGCAGCCTCTGGCCAACCGCACATACATCATCATGGACTGCCAGTTTAATGGTCCGTGGAGTATTGTACAATTTGTGAGATGATTGTAAATGTTAGCTCTTCTAATGGATTGCAGTTGCCATATCTGTTGGAAAGCTGTTGATAAAGAACTGAATGCAGACCGGTCCTGAAGGGAATTCATTATTTATTTATTGTTCTTGGAGGTGTTTCCAAAATATTTGTGAGAAATTGAAGATGCTTCTCGGATGAGAGGTCAAACGTCTTCAACAATCTCAAGCAAGTCCAGCAAACTGAGAATCTCCACAAACATATTTGTGAGAAAATGCAGCAGTAAACTGTCCTAAAAAGCAGCAGGTCAGTTTGTCCACAGCTTCAGATTAAACCTGATGTAATTTATTCACAAACAGTGGTAGGAAAATGTAACTGTGGCGGGTCTTCAGAAAGGCTTAATAACCAAATTTGTCACCGTTTAAATTTAGACTAATAAAGTTCCTCCATATTCCTACAGTTATTTTGTAAATTTCCTACAGGCTTCCAGACTGGAAACAAATTATTTAACACAGATAAGGTCAGTGTGAACCGTACAGGGCAATTGAAGTGATCAGGAGTTTTATGTGGGAGTTGACGGGGAGTGCAGTGATAATGTTTGGGATTTTGGTAATATCTGAGCCATAGTGTTTGAAGTAAGGTCCTCCGAGGGGAAGTGGCCCCTCAGAACACTGGTCAGATGATTTCCAGTATGCTGGGGATTAGGACCAGTCGATGTGGCGGGTATGACAGGATATGACTGCTCAGTGACCTGCTCCCTCGCAGTTCTCAGTAAAACTGGACTTTAGGGGAAGGTTTTTGATGCTAACGCTGGATAGTATGCTTCAGATTTACTGTATGACTTGTGATAAATATTTCCTTTTTTAAACAAAGTGAATTATTTGCCATTTAGCAACTGAAACCAGATTCTTTTTTTACTGCCCTTTAAATTAGAACGACAGGTAAAATACAAACAAGTTAATTAAAAACTGTCTGTTTTGTACAAAATGGATAAAATACTTTTTTTCTTTCCAAAGCACAAAAAACCCCATATTTTAAAATCTAATGCATGGAAATAAATGCAGCTCTCTTTAACGCAACTGAATACAATATATTACATGCTTAAATTTATTGATAAAAAAGAATTGGCAGATTAAGAAAAGGCAGAAAAGCAATTGATGACAATTTTGGTAAACAATTATGTTATCTGCTTACTTTCCTGAATCATTTCTCTTGTGAGAATTTCTTGCTTTTATTCTTTTCACACCATAATCAGCGATCAGTCCTTAACTATAAGAATTGTTAGTTGCCACCCTACTGTACTTCCTGTACATTCTCATAGTACATCATCAACTCAGTAACTGCAGGGGTCATGAGACTTTTAGGGCCCCAAAAATGTTGTAACAAATGAGAAACACTGTCCCTAAACTAAACATGGAAGAGGGGGATCTTTCTAATAACTGTCCTGGAGTTTACAGCTGGATTTGTGGAAAAGGATGTGCTTTCCCAGAATGCTCAGTCTGTGGCCTTTTCATAAACGGCATGACATGTTGTCCAGATTTAGATGTTTCTGTCATCCAAAACCAGGATTATGTTTATTTACTTATAGAGTCTGTTTACTGTATTAGAATCAGATTGTATGTGAAGTTAAGATAAACAGTAGCCATTAGTCTTGGATTCATTTGATTGGCGTACATAGGGTCATGTTTGAGCGTGTGTGTACATGCACAGGTGTGTGTGTCTAAGTGTTTGTGTGATGACATTTCCACTGAGGGCCAGGGCAAGGTTTATCAATCATAAACATGGGCTGATGGATCCCATTACACTGCGGAGATGTGTGTGTGTGTTTACTCAGCAGTGCGAAGAACAAAGAGAGAACGGGGTGAAGGGTGGTGTTGGGGGTGGCTGTGTGCAGGCTTATCCCTCTCTGTGGACACTGGTGCTGAAATATCCACACACTCTCAGGTCATTATTGTTTTTCCTGTTTAGGTAACAATGAATTAAGGGTTTTGGTATCTGATTCTTATTTAGGCATTGTTGTTTTCACTACAAATGACTGGCAAGAATCAGAGATGCCTGGAGGCTTCGTTTGAGGAAACATCCTACTCAGTCCTTTCCCAAAGAAATGGTTGGAATTCCTGGTACTTAACATGCCTAATGAGTAGAACAAGGAAATCACAAAGAGGAGGTTTTTCTTTCATTGCTCATTTCTTTTTCTCTCTTTTCCAGCTTTTTATGAGTATAAATCAATTTACAGCAATGGTAAAGTGTGGAGGAATAACTGCTTTGCACTTACTGACACCCAGACGTACATTAAAGTATTTTGCAGTTGGTTTGTCCTTGTTTTATATCAGTATGATGGCCTCCAAAAGCTACGCTTGGCAGAAACCTTATCTCTTCCTCCGTTCTCTGGCCAGATGCCCCCTGATTTTATTAATGCCCTCATAAGAAAGTGGGCCTAGAGTTTCTCTTTACTAACAAACAAATTAGTCTTTGTATTTGAGTGGCGCCACCCCTCCTCCCTCTCTCTCCGGCTGCTGGAGAAGCTGGAAGAAAATTCTCAATGAAACAAAGAAGACATGCAGCTCAATGGCTCACAAGTGGAGCCCAGGGGCATTGGTGTTGATTGGAGAAAGCAAATACTATTTTCTACTGGAGTAATCATTTCCCTTCTAAATTTGGATAAGTGAAGCACCCTGACAGGAGCGAATATAGCCCATTCATCTCAATAAACAATGTAGCTTCTACTTTTGGCAAAGTGGTTTGAACATGGCAGTTTTTGTCTCTACTGAAGTGGAGTTATTTTACTCACAGGGACATTTCAAGAGCACAGACGCATGTTAGTGTTGAATATATGCCTAGGAGATGTTACATTTGTCATTTTTGTACAATTTCTACAACTATTTATCCATTTTATATATGCAGTCTGTTGGCACAGTGTTTATTGTGGGACTGGAAACTGTTTAGCTCTTTACTTTATCCCCTTGCTGTGGTTAGACACTGTTTGGCCAAAGGATGAAAGACTCATTCAAAGCATGCCTGTTTGTCCCACTGGATAGGCGCTGTGACGGTGTCTCTCACCACACCAGCGTAAGCCTCTGTAAGAACATAACAGGTTTAACCAAGGAGCTCATACGTCAAGGCATTTCCTATACTGACTGTTGAACCTTACTTTAGGCTGTTCAACATGATATGCAGCCTGATAGCTGTAATGTCTGACAATGTGGCAGTCACTTGGGTTATCTGAGGTAACACAATATTTCCTTGAGAAATGCGAATCGTGCGTCTGTCTTGATGAATACAGAATGTGTACCAACATGTTAACTTGTCAACCTCAACCAGAAAGGAAATATTTTCCCCAGTTACCGCTTTGTTAAGAATCTCTTCACCTCAGATGACCCTGATGATAATCTCTGCTCTGATACAACATACATACGTCAGAACAGAGAACAGTCAGAACGAACATGAACATGGAGTTCTAGCACTGCGTGCACTCTTCTGCAGAACTCTGTGTATTTGTGTGTACCACACGTTGCCAGCAGAGTGCCAGCCTTACTTCCTTGACGGGATTATGTGCATCAAGAAGATTATTATAATTAAAATCTTTTGGCACAAGTAATCTACATGTTAATCTACATGCAGCATTAACATATTATTCCCCTCCAGACACTCCTGCTAAACTGATTTGTGACAGAAAATAAAATCTGTAATTGTACATGCTTCTATGTTTGGTGTTTTTTTTGAAATACATCTTCACATGTGCTCTCTCTGTGTCTTCCAGTCTGTACTCCAAGTATTGACATCCGAAATGAGATCAGCCAGTTCAAGCGGCTGGAGAACTGTACGGTGGTGGAGGGCTACCTGCGCATCCTCCTCATCAACGACAAGACCAGCAACATCCACCAGGAGGCCTTCCGTTCCCTCAGCTTCCCTAAACTGACCGTCATCACGGACTACCTGTTGTTATTCCGTGTCTCGGGCCTGGACAGCCTCAGCATGCTCTTCCCCAATCTGAGTGTTATCCGTGGACACAATCTCTTCTACAACTACGCCCTTGTGATCTATGAGATGACCAGCCTGAAGGACATTGGCCTGTACAACCTGAGGAACATCACTCGGGGTGCCATGCGGATTGAGAAGAACCCCGAGCTCTGCTACATAGATTCAGTGGACTGGTCTCTCATTATGGAAACTGAGTTCAACAATGTTATCAATGGAAATAAGAAGTCAAAAGAGTGTGACAATGTCTGTCCAGGAATCATGCAGGATAACCCTCTTTGTCAGAGGACATCGTTCAATGACATCTACGACTACCGCTGCTGGACATCCAACCAGTGCCAGAAAGGTATTCCGGTCTATTTTTTCACACTTTACCCTGGCACACAGACATGTAGCAGAGTATGTGTAATATTTTGGGTACATACAATATTTTGTGACACAAGTATAGTAAATGCTGATGTGACTTTGATCTAGGTAGGTGGTTTTCAGTCTCATAAACATTTGGAAATTGTGTATTGCTACACCAGTGAACAAATCCCATGAATCTATGCAGTGTTTTCCCTTCATTTCCGTCAGACTGCAGGATTGTCCATGGGCCAGTGCAAACATTTCCTCTCTCTTCATTATAGAAACCTTGTCTTTAGATCAGGCTATTTCTAGAATGACGGATGACTGCAGTGTACAGCAACCATATATTAGAAAGAATACTCAATTGAGGTTAAACTTGCTCTGCCAAGAAGTGAGCTAGTCTACCTGTCTGGACCGTGTCAGTTAAATATTTGGCTTAGGGACTTATGCAATTTATGAAAAAGGGTATATTGAAGAATCTGGAGGGGGGTCATTCTAGTTTAACTTTGGTCCAGCTGTGAGTTTTTAAACAGTTCAGAGGGGGGTCATATCATATAAACATATACGTTCTGCTCAATCTGCAGGTTTGAATTCATTCATTTATGTGCATTTATTCCTTGTGTTCAGTTTGTCTTAGTCATTCTTGCAGCACTCAAGGCAAATGTAGCAGCAAATGTAGCAGCAGTGAGAGCTTTTTGATTAGAATTTGGGACAACCACATCGGCCGTCTCATGCCTCTACAAAGCTACTGGCAGTTCAAGTCCTGGTAATATACTCCTGCAGCCTGTTTGATACAGACAAAGCTGTCAATGAGGCTTCTAGTAGAAATCTTCTGTTGCTCTCTGACATAAAAACCCATGTTTCTTCATAGTGACCACATTCATCTCCATACAACAGCTACAGTGTTTATTTATTCTGATCTGCTGGAGCTCTGTCCCTAATCCATATAGTTTTGGCTGTGTGAATTTAAAAATATACCTGTGATTTTATATAAATATGTGTAAAAAAAAAAAATCTAAAGTGTCCTAAATGTGCTACATTGTGCATACATCTGCGATGACCTTCAGTTCACCTCTGTTCTTCTCACAGTAGAAAACATCTGCTCTCACAGGTCAGGCTTGAAAGGCCGAGCAGGAGTATTGTTTGAACCTATCTCTGAGGCCCAGGTCGAGGTTGGGGTAAACGCATTCATCTACAGGACCTTGAGGTCTCACGCCCGCAGATAAAGGCTACACAGTAGGGTGGGGGGGTTGGAGGCGTTGCTAAAAAAACTAGGACAGACTGAAAGTAGAGCAGGTTTGTGACGTGTGCTAATATTCCACATATACAGGTAGTATTTCTCACTCTGCCTTTGTGTGTTTCTTTTTTTTTAAGGCTTGTTGTGTCTGTGTCTGTTTCTCTCCTTCCTGCTTAAGATTCCTCTCTCCTCTCTCCACCCCTCTGCATAATTGCCTTGTTTTTCTCCAGTACAGATGTTTCTTCAAGGACATGCAGCGGTTTTCTACTCAATACAGTCCAGTCTCCTCTTTAATTACACTACATGAGCAGGGAGTGCTTTCTTCCTAGTACGTTACTGTAGCCTCTGGGCCTTTTAGTGCTTCATGGGACAACAACAAAACGGCCATGTTTGTCCTCTCACCAGATACTGATTCCCACAGCAGTTTTAGGAGCATTTACATGAGCCCTATCAAAAGTAAATGTAACTATCATTCTAGACAGAATAAACCAGGTTAACGCTGTACTTGTGGCTAGATGGAAGTACAGTAAGTGGGAGTGACCGTGTAAGGAAGTGCAGTTTGGAGCAGAGGTTCTAGTGGCAGGCAGCTATGTTCAGAGAGGCCCTGACTGAGGAGGGACACTGAGGGGAAATGTCAGATAAATGTCAAGTATACAAACTCTATGGCAAGCTCTCAATAAAGTGCAGCACTTGGAGGGCTGAAGAATACTCATTCCTCCCTTTGTTTATGGTTCCCCTCTTTCCTCTCCTTCACCCGCCCCAATACTTCCTCGTAAATGCTCCCTGCCGCTCCGCTTTCCCCTCTTTCCACATGCTGCCTGTCCATTTCTTCCTCAGTAAGCTTCTACACTTCACTTAGCCTTAACCCGATTTTCTCTGATTTTCCTTGTCAGTTGTTCTGCTGGCGTTTTCTCTTTTATTTTCATGTCACTCTTTTCTGCAGGGCTTATCAGTGGCTGTTAACAGCTCTGGCTGTCACATATCTCTCCACTGTTTATTTGTCAGAGGCATTCTCTCATCACTACTGGTGGCCACGGCCAACCGGCTTGTTTGGCCGGGCCCTGGAACATTTGATACTGCATGCTGTTTGCTTTGAGTTTTAGCACATCCTGTAATTAAAAAGTGTCTGTCCTTTTTTTAAAATAACCCCCTCGGCTCTGTGTTTGCTGCAGACTGGCCTGAGCCTCGGAGCTGAGCCAAAGCCAGATAGATAAGTGACTTAAAAGTCATTTAATTAGCCAGATAAGCAACGCTGTGTCCATTCTGAGTACAGGTTAGTCTTCGTAGTTCCACAGGGAGGCACACACTCTCTCACTTGTTAGTCCTCACATAGCTCATGTATCCTTTATGGCCTGAACAATAACTTACTGTATGGTCAGCCCAGGCACTCTGAGCTAGTTTCTCAACCCTTACAGAACATCATGTCCCCAGCGTTGTTGTTGACAGACAAATATGAGAAACAAAGTCTGTCTGTGACTGTATAATGTTTCGAAATGTCTGCATACCGAAACTGCCTTTGTTGTTAGAAGAAGCAAAACTGAGGTGTACCTAGGTTGGAAGTGCTGGGGTGTCAGTTTGCATGTTAGTGTGTGTGCTACAGTGCTGAAAGAAGACTTGCTGTCCTTTTTATGTCACAGTCTGTGATCCCAGAAGAAACCCAACACAGTGAAAGCATTTTGGAGCCCCGGCAGTACTACTTCTTTGCCAGAGATACACTTGATATCTCTGGTCTGAGTGCTCTGACCTAAGCTCTCATTTCAGCAGGTGAAAACAGTTACTTATAGAGGATGCATCTGTAGGGTTAGCAGGTTCAGACAGGCAGACAAATGTTATACCACAACTGCTTAAGATTTATACCATGATCATTTTTGATGGTGTTTAAAGGATAAGGTCTTACTTATATACTTCTCACGAAAAGCCCTAAGCCAACAATTAGTTTGTCTTTGTTTGAATACTCTGACTTACTTACACAATTTGTAGCGCTCACCCTCAAGCCCACTGCTTCTTACTAAAGACTTAAGTCTTTAAAACCAGTCACAAATTAATAGTCATTTAAAAGAACAACAAAAAAGTCAGGCCCTGTTGTTTTTAGTTAATATTGCTCACAAAAGAGTAAATAATGAATATGTTGAGGACTGTTTTCATTTTTTCATGGATTCATGTATTAGCAATCTGAACAGTATGTACTCATAAGATGGTTTTGGTCTCTGGTGGAAAATCGACATCTGACTGGTTTGACATACTTGGCCAATAAACGTGATTCTGATTTTTTTTGTTTTTTTTTTGTGTCACAGTGATAATTTATGGATTACATTCACTCAGTGTTTATGTAGTTGAAATAATTCAGTTCATTGATGTTTGTATTTGACACATTATGTTAACATGCTGTCTCACTGTGTTCAGACCAAATGGTCTAAAACATCTAAAATAATGATGTGCATTGTTATTTCTGCAGAACCCGACTGTTTCTAGTTGGTATTAGATAAGGCAGGAGCAGTTTGTTTCCTACCGGACGAAGCCTGGGAGAGACATACAAACTCAAGGTCAAAGATTATGCACTTCGTAAAGTTAGCGTTTTCATTATGTCTCCCTTCCTTGAAGCATTCACAGACAGGGAGGAAGGCAGATAAGAACAAGTGTATAAACATGGTGGGAATAGAGAGGTGAGTTACACTTGGTATGGGACTTTCAGTGTTCCATGTCCTTTGCTTAACCAGTGAAAAGTAATACTGCTAAGAATATTTGAATCCTCTGGCTATTGGTCCGGCAGATAATTATCAAAACACTATTTACATGGGGTTTGCTGGCAATAAGCAAAATATTCAATATCACAAGACTTTTTTTTTAAACAGTACAGTGAAGTAATTGTTAAGATATTTTGCTTGGTGTTGGTTGTTTTCCCAGCTCTCTAGGCTAAGTTATTTGATCAAAAATTTAATGAGAATAAAGTATTAATTAATGAGAGGGATAACAAGATTTTAAAGGAGGTTTTGTAAATAGATTTTTGGAGTTACCCCATAGCTCATATTTCTTGTCAAGATTAGTTGAAGAGACATCAAACTGTGCAGAATTGATACTTGTATTTTGTGTCCGTGCTCCTTTCATGTGATCTGTCAGTCGTTTTTGTTTAACAAACATCCATCAGTTGATACAAGGAAGCTTTTAAACACTGAATAGCGTTTCTGAAGCTTATCATAGTCGGGTCGTTATAGGAACAGGAAATGCAAAAGAGACAAATTTCCATTACTGGGAATCCGGTGCTTTCCTGGGGGCACGTTCAGCACCATGAGTCATCTGCTTGACCACCTGGCATGAACTACTCCCCGGCGCTCTGCTCCATTTTGTACAAAGTTTAGGCAGTGTGCCAGTGTTGGTGCTAAAGAGATGGTGTTGGGCTCATTCAGTCCTGCCCTCCCACAACTACCAGGCTGAAAATGTAGCAGTCATATCAAACATCTTCTCCACTACTGCACTTGGATTTTCTTTGTGTTCTCTGGGTCACCACAGTCTCCTTGGAAATGAGAAAGTGGGGCTGTGCTTGGTCAGGCATTTCAACACTTTACCGCGGTAGACCTAGCATAGACCTTGTAGGTAACTTCAGGAGGATGTATTCAACACATGAGACAGTTGTTCTGTTCAGTTACCTCTGGCCCTTCTGGCAATCTCTGTATGTGTGTGCATGCCCTTGTCTGTGTTATTTCCCTGGAGTACTGGAGTTTATTGATGCACAGTGTTCCAACTTTATGGTGCATTTGAAATTA